AAAATGTCCAGAATGTGTTTAAACAATTGAGAGTCACCCTGGACTTTGAGGAGAAGAGGCTCCTGAGAAAACTGAAGACAGAGGAGGAACAGATTCTGAATAGCCTGGTTGCATTTGAAAAGGAGCTGACCCAGCAGACCCAGCTGGCAAGAGAGCTCATCTCAGATGTGGAGCATCGGTTGCAGGGGTCAGCAATGGAGATGTTGCAGGTAAGACTTCAAGAGTAGGTGCAGCATCTGAGATTCAGGTGCAATGAAAAGCATTTCCTCCTCCTCTGTGTGACTTTACTGTCTAGTGATGGAAATAAAGTTCTTTGGGCTAGTCATTACTTCCTTCTGAATGAATTTCAGGGGGTATGGGCATAATTGAATGTATATTTAAAAAGGGAAAATCCCGTTTCAATTATTATGAAGTGAAGTGCACAAATTTAATGTTGAGGGGAAGATCCATTGTATACAGTGATGTTTTAAAATTGCCAATTTCCTGTGATCTAGTGCTGAGCATTTATTAAGCATATTTTCACAATTCAAGGTAATCGCTGCTAAACAAAGGAACTTCAAGTTGCAAAAGATGTTCTACTTTCCTTTCTACAATAAATTGAGACATTTTCCATTTTAGTCCCCCCCAAAAAATCATCACAGACTAGTATTTCTTCCTTTATATATTCATTAAAATTCAGCAGTGAAGCCATCTCAGTGGTGTTTTTGTTTTCATTTTTGTTTTTTGCGTTCCCATAGAATTATAAATTTTTAAATTCTTTTACTTGTCTCAAGTTCATTTAGATAATCTATACTTCTTGAGTTAGATGTTGGTAGTACATGTCTTTGTACAAATGTTCATTTTATCTAAGTTGTTGAATTTGCAGGCGTAGTATAAGACTTGTTTATAATCTTTTTTATTTCTGTGTTATGTTAACTTTGTCAATATAAATTGTTTTTAATTACCACATATAGCATGTTCATTGGAAATATGCATACATTGTGGAATGTCTAAATGGAGCTAATTAACTCCTTCATTATTTTGCACACAACTTTTTTGCGGTGACAGCAAAGTCTATTCCTCTGGCAATTTGTAAGAACATAATACATTGTTATTAAGTATGGCCACCACATTGTGCAATGAATTTCTTGAAGATATTCCTTCTTTCTGATTTAACTTTTGAATCTTTTGACAAATATCTTCCTATCTCTCCCTCACAGGCCTTCACTCCTCCCAGTGTACTTCCTGCTTCTATAAGATCAACTTTTATTCATTCCACGTATTTAAGTGTTCATATCCACTACTATTTTTCTGGGCCTGGATTATTTCATTTAACATACAATCTTCTAGATTAATCCATGTTGCTGCAAAGTACAAGATTTCTGGTTTTTTTTCTTTCTTTTTTGTAAGCTGATGAGCTTTACATGGTGTATGTATACCATATTATCTTATACCCAGTAAGTCTTCTGCCCAGCAGGATCTGCATTTGAGTAGGGGAGTACATTCAAAGTTCAAGCCACTTTAAAGCTGGCGATAGCTTACCTTACGAATTGTACGCACCTCTTCTGTTCATATGTGTGCATCTTTAGCATGGCCAGATTCATATGTCACTTAATCCTAGCCTAAAAACTATATCCAGTTCCCTCGTTTCTGGCAGCAACAGAGTTGCATTTAAGATGGTTATCTGCTTTAATGCAGGCAGATGCCATACTGGCTCAAACTTTTTGTTGTCTTACGAGAGAAGTTCTCATTTCTGCAAAGTTTGTATCAGGAGAGTCACATTTCCTTCATGTACTAAGAATTCTTTCCAGATAGATGGAAACTTGAATTTCGAGAACGATGTAGAGCAGGTGCTGAAGATGAGTTTGAGCTGTAAAACTTAGCAATTGCTCTAGTTATAACTTACTATGACAAGGCCTTTTTACCTCTAAACATAACTTTGTTTGGTTTATGTTATACTCAATATGAGTCTACTACTATGAAGAACAAAACTCTGTATGTCTATGTGGACCCAGCTATTGGCTTACTTTTGCCAAAACTTTTATAAGGAGGAAATAAGTTTGGGGTACAGGACACCAGGTCCAAACAAAACTCTGTGTACAATGATAAAATGAGTAGATGACTCAAAACCATGAAGGCTGTGGACTGATAGAGACTGGAATTCTGGGTGAATATTATAATTTATATAACGATGGAGTGTGAGAGAGAAAGCCTCATGCTTGGTGTTAAATAGTAGACATCCTGGTTTTTTGTCCTTGTGGCTTCTTCATTATTGGACACATTAAACTGCATTTAACTGACAAATCAGAGTAAAAATAGAAGTGGAAACAACTTCCCATCCATGCACATTTAATTTAAGTGATTGGATAGGCCCATTTTATTTAGCATGGAAAGTGAGAAGCGATACTTGTTAAAACAGTTGTTTACTTGTCTCCTCAGCAAAAGCTATGTACAGTAAACTTTTTCTGGAATGATAGATTACCTTTGTTTTTGCAAATCCTGTTAATTCCTACAAAATAATAGTGTGTCATTGCAGGTATCTGTAAAATAAGTGGAAGAACCATGTAGTATTCAAATCGTCTCCGGACAGGGATTTAGCTCAGTGGTTCCACTGCCTGCCTCGCAAGCACAAGGTCCCGAGTTCGATCCCTGGTGCCAAAAAAACTAAAAACAACTTGTAAATCATCTCAAGGGTGACCATGGGATGGTTGGCTTGAGTCTTATGTTTACTTTTTGTCTTTCAGACTGGGAAAATCCCCACTCTCAGCATATTAGGGACTTCTAAGAATGGGATAAAACTTTGTAAGTGAGGAAAGCCCATTAATTTTAACTCATGTTTTCTTCTTTCTCACTAGGATGTGAAGGTCACCATGGAAAGGTATGTGTGGGATGCCAAGGACTGACGTTTTGTGTGGTGAGAGGAGATTTATAGTTATTAAATGAAGGAGTGTTCAATTGGAACAACATTTCCCAGGTCAGGAAAGTTTAGATGTAGTGCTACATAAATTCCTTGTCACCAACCAGAGTTTGAGTGTTTTATTACTTTTGAGAGTGGACCAGAAGGAACCAAATTGTATGGTAGCAATTTCGGCTGTGGAGCTGCAGTTGGGAACAGTAGGGGAATTAAGGATTAGCTGTTACAATATTAAACCCCTGGGCATCACCATTTTATTCACTGCGTATCTACACTGAGCTCTAGGCTTTGGAATTAATAGGTGCTTGATTTTTTATAGATAGAATATATCTTCTTTACCAAGTACCAAGGATTGTCCATTGGGATAATCCCTATATGGAGTATTTTTATTTTTCTCCCGGAAATGGAAGAGATCATGTCCATAGACAGACATGAGTATGTTAAACAGAATTTTGGCTGAAGTGCAAACAGTTGATCCGACTTAATCACATTCTTTCGAAGAATTTGGAAGGGCATCATCCTTTTCTCTACAATTGCATACCTTCCTGCAGCCTCAAGCTTTTCAAAACACATGGAATTCTAAAATTCTAATCAGTACCAGTTTGGTGTTCCTTTGCTGAATGTTTATAATTTCCCAGAGAAAGAATAAAATATGAAACCTCAGACCTTAGATGACCTTTCAGTTGGTACAAGCTTTGGAATTTTGAGGTTCTCCAGGTAGGATTCCTACACTTGATATGCTCCAGACACCCAAGAGCCAGATTTTGCAAATTTACTTACTGATCACTTTCTCAGGAACCCACATTCATGGCAGTAATTCTTCCATACATTATTATTTTTCTTCAAGTGTAGGCAGAGGGTGTTGTTTTAAAGTCATTAAGAATAGAGAAACTGTGCTCCTCACTGGTCAAGACCTTCCTAAGTTCACACAGAATGACTGAGAAGGCAGACATGTTTCTTTAGGGCTTCAAGAATTTACATTCTCCCTTGTCTGGATCCCACAACTATATAAATGAGATGCACTGGTAGATGTCAGTGGTGTTTGAAGGACACAGGTATGAGATGTGGAGTTCACTTTTTTTTCCTCTCTAGGAGTAAGTCATTAACTCCCAAGAAACCAAAAACTTTTCCCAAGATAAATAGGATGGTGCTCCAAGCTCCTGATCTGAAAAGGATGCTACAAATTCATCAAGGTGAGCAGAGCAAAATGGTCACTATTGTGCATGCCTGCCTGTATAATCCTAGCTACTCAGGAGGCTGAGACAGGAAGATTGCAAGTTCAAGTCTAGCCTGAGCAATTAGTGAGTTAATGACACTCTGTCTCAGTAAAATGTAAAAAGGATGAAAGTGTACTCCGTGTCAGAGCACTTACCTAGCATACAGTAGGTCTTGGGTTCAATCACTAACACCACCCAAATGGCAGGAGGGTGTATTGAGGTAAGCTAGGTTAGATGTGTGTCTGGGGGATTCTAGAGATGGCAGGACTGATTGAGGAAGAGGGAGCGGTGTCTAGTTGTGGATAGAGGAGACAAGGGAAAATGGGTGTCTGTGGGTGATGAACTCATATTATTGGGGAATGACCATTCACCCTTGTTCACGAGTTCACTGGCTCATCATAGGCCTCTTGGCTTCCCCTAGACTGGAGAGGACGTGGGTGTCAGTGCTGACTCGTTTGCTTCCATTTAATATTATGAATTTTTGTCATTTCAGAACAAATGGAGGTACGACGCTACTGGGGTAAGGAGAAATCCTAATATCATAAGCCACCCTCCCCTCCATATATTTCAGAAGTTATTTCTCATATTTTGAGATCCGTATTTCTCCTTCCAACACACACATGCATCGTATGTTTCTGCAAATGTACTACCCCTGCTTATGACTTCTGTGTGAAGTTCCTCCCACCCCTTTCTCAAGGTCTTACCGAGAATCCTCACATAATATCACACGTATTATGTCCCTCACCCAACCTTGCAATTTTTCTACAGCTCATCTGACACTGACTCCAAGCATCAATCCAGATATTGCCATTTCTGCAAATAGGCAAAAACTGAGATTAAGTGATCCATTGCAGACATCGAATTCTCAAAGAGGCTCCCTGGGCTACCCAGCTGTCACATCAGGGAAGCATTACTGGGAAGTGGATGTAGCTATGGAACGTGACTGGATCCTGGGAGTCAGTGATGGAAAATACCTCAACACCTCATTTAAATTCAATGATGAAAATTATCAACCTAAACATGGTTACTGGGTCATAGGGCAACAGAATGATGTTAAGTATAATGCTTTTGAGGAGTCTTACAACTCTGATCCCTTGACCTTGGCCCTTTCCCTGACTGTTCCTCCTAAACGTGTTGGAATTTTCCTAGACTATGAGGCTCGTACTGTCTCATTCTACAATGTGACAAACCATGGATTTCTCATCCATAAATTCTCTAGGTGTTCCTTTTCTGGTAATGTTTTTCCATTCTTCAGTCCTAGGATCTGTGTAGTACCTATGCCATTATGTGGGCCAAAAGCTTGAACTTTCTTCTACCCTCTCTCTCTCCTGTGTCCTGCCTCTGGCTGAAGTGTGCATCTCCTGCCTCTGAGGTGGCCTACTGCATTTTAACCACTTTGCCTGCTGTCTC